TTTTTTTCCCCCCCCCCCCCCCCCCCTTTGCCCGCAAAAGGGTCTCCTAATCGGACCCTGACCGCACGCGGAGAGTGCATCGAGTTCGTTCACGAAAGCACGATGAAATTTCTTCCGGAAATACACACGGAGCTGGCCGGCTGGCCGGTTTCTCGCTTCATTAACGAGCTGCGCGTGCGTGTTATCGGAAGGCTTGTTATTCAAATACGGCGATTAAATCAGTCGGGGCAGACGAGTGGACGCGCGGGCGATGCAATCGATAGCGAAGAATAACGAGTAAGTACACCGCACATGGGGAACATTGCGAATGATTGTAATTACCTGTAGCATCGCGCAAATAATCTACGACTTGGCTCCGCAGAGTCCTTTGTTCCGAAAATACTCCCGACGGATGATGGTTATTACGAAACGTTCAATCGAACGTGATGACATTGATGGTTTATGGTTCAAACATTACACGGCCTTTCTAAAAAGCTTTTATGGAACGTGAAATATTGATGACTAGAAAGCGAGAGGCTACAAAGGTCTTCCTATTCTCTTCGTATTCGCGCTTCACTTAATCGCGAAGTCTTATAGTCTATAAGAAACTACGGTTGTGCGTCAGCAGTTTGCGCGAATAGCGTCAGCCGCGCTATCAGCAATGATTTATATACTCTCTCTCTTTCTCCTCTCTCTCCTCTCTCTGTCTCTCTCTTTCTCCTCTCTCTCTCTCTCTCTTTCTCTCTTTCTCTCTCTCTCTCTCTCGTGTAATGTTGTCACATAAGAAGCACGAAGGGACGTGCACGACGTCGTCACTTCGAAAATAAATCCAACCATGAAACACGTCTTACACGGGTCGAAAATAGATGCACGATATATTAAGTATGACCTAGGATAGACTAACGTAGGTCACGGTATCTAAAGACATACCGTGAGAACTATAGACGTATAAAAATTCCGCGAAGAACGCAGCACAATGATCCGAGCCCAGAGCCGAATAATTCACCGAGCATTAATCTCCCGAGAGCTACGTCGGCGTATCGAGAGAGGTAATAATAATGTGCTTTCATCTAATAAATTTTCGTTCAGCAAAAAGTGCCTCTTCTCTTTGCTATTGTACTTCTATTTCTCCCGTAAGATCTCACATCATTCTCGGGAGTATTAAGTTGATGTGAAAGATTCATCGTGTTCGTCAAGTAAAATACAAGACAGAATTATATACTCAATTTCGGAGGATTTATACTTTTCATCAGTGGAATAAGCAACATTGACTCGGTATTTTTTTTTTTAGACATTCAACAACGAAGACTATATTTTTCTTTTAGTACTTAAACTTCCTACAAGAATTTAACAAAAAAATCTTTTGCATCAAGTTAATATTATGCATCGCGACAAAGACGAGTCGGCAAGTTAGATTCGCATTTTATTATTATCATTTTTCAAAATATCTTTATCAAGTATTACACACAGAAGAATGCATTCCGCACTCAAGTAAATGTTATTTATTTTAAGTATTTTGCAAGTTTATATATCTGCAGATCTCTATCATAAGTTCATCACAGGCATCAAATTTATTCAAAATACAATCCTTCTAAATCCTAATAAGTTTAGCAATTAAATCAAGAATAACAAATTAAGAAAAAAATTTTATTACTGCATAGAGTCGAGTCAACCTTTTCTTCGATAAAATTTTATAATATTCTTGTAAAGAGAGAGAGAGAGAGAGAAAAATTTCTTTTTGTCAGTATATACAATGAGAGATGAGCTTATATAAAATGATAAATATATTTTAAGATTATTATCGAGAAAATATATCTTCATTAAAGATAACCAATACTTGAAAGAAGGAAATTATTACAAAATAATCCTTTCCTCAGCAGTAGAATGATATTTTTCTGTGCGTAATGACAAATGTACAGTGCAGAAATCTACTTTCTGAGACATATTATTAGGGTGTACATAAATTGCAATTAACGCGTTGGCACCCGAGAGACAGAAGACTCTGGTCGATCAGGCATTAATACGGATAAAAGCACATTTCCGCACGATATTACGTGCCGCACTCGATATTCCCGGTGCGTAACATGATCGCTTTTGGCAATGATACGAATGGAGAGAAACGACACAAGTGAAGAGAAACGATAGAAAGAGGCTTACCAGAGTGGGTGGACCTTCCGGTGGAGGGTAGCGTAGCAGCCGATTGCGGCACCCTGGCCGTCTGATCCTCGCTGCTGGGCCCGCTGCTGGTCGCACTTATCGGGCTCTCCGCGCCTCTGGGCACGTTGTTTCCGTCGGCTATAGCCCCGACGCTCGTTACGGCGCGCGACGTTACCGGGCTCGGGCTCGGCGAGAATAACGAGTGAGGCGTCGAGTACACTTGGGCGGACTTGAGGTCAATCGGCGCTACCCACATCTCCTCCAAAGGCACGCGACCCTGCGACTCCACCAGACCGGGTGTGCTCTGACACCTGCTCATGACTGGAAAGTCGAATGTACCTTAAAGTGACTTTATAGCCTGATATTCAATGATGATAGGGGAATGATACGAGATAGCAGATCCGCGGAAATGATGAAAATGTACGCCGCGAGAGTGCTAAGAGAGAATGATTGTCTCACCCCTGCAGCGTGGCAAATCGTGACGCACAACTTGGTTCCGGAATTCTTTCCAGGGAGACCAGGGTTATATGGCCCCAGATGAACATATTGCTCATGTGCTTTTTTTAATATTTACGTTGAGAAAAATAGTGGTTACAAAATCGCGAAATGGTCTCTTTAGAACAAAAATACTTTTCCCTGAATTTCATTAAAATTGGAATAATTACAGTTAAGAAAGCAAATTTTCGAGCCTCTCGAAATTTTCTATTAATATCCCCCATCGTGACTGAATAAAAATAAGCGACGTTCTCTATCTAGTTAGATAACTATAACTATAGATAGTTTACTAATTAGAATGAAATTTCTCGGAAGTATGTGATATACTGATTCTGGTAATAAATGTAATTTTTATAAAATAATTGAAATAGAGCATATAGCTGGAAAGTTGGCCCATGATTAAAGGTCGGCAGTAAGGCTGTGGAGATCTCTCGCGGAGACTTTGGAACTACTAATCAAGATATTTTATACGTAGCCTTCTTACCCTGCACTACTGGACAACTAAACTCGGTAAAGGGCAAGATTACTATGCTGCTGCATGTTCGTATTTTGGTTATTACAAAATAAAATATATGGTTAACAGAATCATAGGGATATAATACATAGAAGAAGGTTGCCTCTATTATGTTTATATAATCACTTATAATAATTAGTTACTTGAGAAGTAACTTCGAAATTCTAAAATATAGGGCATCTAGATCTTCCCCGTTTATTTGCAAGGGGTAGAAGTTGTTAACGTCGTTTTGCGCGTGGTCGTTTATTTGAAAAAGAAGCTCTACGACGACGACGACGGAGAAACGCGAGGAAAGACAAGCAGAGAAAGGAAGAGAGAGGATAGAAGTAGACCCACGATATCGCCGTCGCTTTTTCATCCCCCTCGAAAACGAAACCGGAAACTCGCGCGAAAAGCTCAACCGCAGTCGCGCCGGAATTTTCGGAACGCGCCAGAGAGCGACGAGGGTGGTTGGCTGGCCATTTATTTAGGGTATCGCTCATTCGCGATGCGAGTTATCGCCCGTGCATCGGCGACGTGTTTGCGCGCCCCGTGCCTGAAACGACCCGTACGTGCTCTCGAATTTCCGCTTTTGGCCGCGCTGACATTTAACCGACGTCGACAGTATATTCGACGGCATCAATAGTACGGCTAGTTTCGCTTTGACGCGGATCCTTCGATACTGCCGTGAGAGAAATGTTTGATCCTTCGGCTCGTTACACGCGCTCTCCACCGTCTCGTCTCGCGACGCTGTTTGTGCCTGGCCGTGAAGACGCGTTTGGCCATTAAGGTATTCTGCGATCGTGTTACGTTTTAGCCCGTTTACTCGAGTGGAATCGACCGGGGCGTCGGAGAGCGCAATGCAAAATGATAAATCGCGCCCGAACGACGAATTTGCGGTGAAGCTTGCGACGTACACAGTGGGCTGCAAAATGATTGCAGATTACAATGAAGCTGGGACCTCACTAAACTGTTAAAATTGAGAGTCATCGTTTTGACTAGTTTGCTCAATAATTATATTTTTTATTCATTTTATTATTATTATTATCAACTTATTATTAGTATTGTTATAATTTATTATTATTTAGTGTTCTAATTATATTATTGTTGTTTAAGTCTGTTAACAATGACTCTGAATTTTGATAGTTGCTCCCATTGCACTTCATTTTAAAACTTTTTGCAATTTACTATACACACGTATACTCAGTTACTAAACGGTGGCCATGCATTTTTCCGAATAAAGTTGTAGTTTTTCTGGTCGTCACAAATTAAGAGACACTGCTGACGCGTTCGCGCTATAATCAGTTATGACAGAAGTCAAAGTGACATTATAGAGTATAAAAATAATTTTCAAGCGCCGCGGTCGCCGGGAGCGCTGCACGATCTCATTCGAAAAAATGTGTGGCCATCGTTTAATAATCAAGAGTATATATGGTGAATTGACAGAGTGATTTAACCGTAAATCAGTAATATATATATAATATGTTTATTTATAGTCAACTGAGATCTAATAATGCGGTAACCATGCAACATTAGCCAGCGGTTAGCATATAACGATAGATAGATAGATAGATAGAAGGAAAAAGAAAGAGAGAGAGAGAGAGAGAGAGAGAGAGAGAGAGAGAGAGAGAGATCACAATGTGGGAAGTGTAGACTCAGGTCAGTTAAATTCATCCTTGTAATTAAAGTGACCTTTAAATACCACGACATTACGCAAGATACCACGCTGATCAAAACGCTAATACGCGGCGGTGAGACGCAACGAGGACGAAGCCAAAAGAAAGATAGACGCGAGTGTTATTTTCATAACACGTCGCTTGTGCGAGTGTTCGTAGTTACTTAAATTAGAAATCCGAGTATAAGCTACGCTCACGCGAACGTGTTGCAACTTTTTGTGGACGGTCTCTACTTGGAGCGATCCGATATACTTTTTCCGTTCGCTCGACGCGATCGCGGCGAAAGAGCGCGTACTTTCGAACTGGCAACGCGCGCGCGCGCTAATAGACTCCCGTTTTTTTTTTTCGTTTTCGTGTTAATTAGAGTATGTGGTGCCGATATCGACGCCCGAGATCAATACTCGGCGTCGTATGTACGCGCGATTTCCACCTCCCCCCCCCCCTCCTCTCTCCTGCCCCCTATAACTCACCGCAGCGTAACTCGCATTACGCATTACACTTATTACCGCGCGACCTAATTTCCCATACGTCATATCTCGCCAGCGAAAAGTATGTTGGCTGTGCGCGAGCGGCGGGCGTCGAGTAAATGTCCATCGTGCCGAAGCAGATGAATGGCTCGAGAAGTGTACAAACGAAATAAGTTTCCGCGGCATACTCGCGTGTAAGCGGATTATCGAGAAAAACTCCTCTCGAAAGAAGCGACGACGTTCCTCAAGGAAATGGCTGAGCCATTGAATAATACGGCGCTTCTATTCAGCGGCGTCTTTATAGCTTCTACGATCCAGCGCGTCGAGATTATATATCGGAAGCCTCTTTTCGTTGGATCAATTAAAAAAAAAAAAGAGAGAAGAAGGGGTAAGGAAGAGACAAAGAAAAGAACGAACGAGAAGGAATAAACGGGGGGAAAATCCCTTTTCCGCGCGCGCGCGCACGTGGAGAAATAACGTTTAAAATTGTCGATCCTCGAATTTCCCGGGCGGGAATAATTTCGACACTTCAACATATTAATCACTTTTTTATCTCTCTCTCTCTCTCTCTCTCTCCTCGTTTAACTCTTTTTTATACTCCCACATTTTTTCCACACGCGGGAAATAGTCTCTCCCTCTAACTTCTCGTTGCGAGTGTTCTCGGTTAGACATTTTCTTCTATTTTCCTTGGTTTGTCTTCTGGTATTTGTGGACGGAAGGGCGCATTTAGCGGTGCCGGGACACCGCGTATGTATTCGCACGGGATATTTTTCGCCGGGGAATGGCCAGAGGGGGAGTCGTCGACCCTCGGACACACGCTGACCCACCGGCCAGCGTGACCAGAGTCAGTTCGCCCTATATCGCCGGTGTATTCCGGCTATCGTTTCCGCCTGTTTCGGACCTCAATGAGACGCCAGGAAGCGAAGAATCGCTGGGAACTCCCGCGGCCATTCATCTCCATCAACGATGGTGTCGGATTCCGCTGCTGAAAGAACACCGTCGCGTCGCCGCGACTCGCGTCTTCATTCTTCGCGCTCTTACGTAACCGCGCGAAATTAGGTCGCGAAAACATTTTGCGCGGACGAGCGAATCTCAAGACGGCGTTGTCCGCATTCGTCGTCGCGGCCGTGCATTCGGCGTCCAACGCAACCGTCTCCCGTCATTTCGCATACGTAAATCTCGCATTTTTTTCCTTTAAGACGCACAATGCACACAATTATGTCGATTCATTCTGGGTCTTCCCTCAATTTTTTTTTTTGTAGCGGCAATATAATGTCGATATAATACTATCGATCCATCATAGATAGAGCTATAGTTTTCGCTCCGACCAGTGAAACAATTTTCCCCCTGAAGAAACTGATATGGCGATTGTGTACAGAGTGCGGGTCGCATTCTCGACGCGTATTCGAGCGCTAAGTACGCTTTTTTGATTCTCAAGCTAAACAACCTTATACGGTACAAGATAAAATGGAACTTGAAATAAAAAGGGTGTACTTAGTGTCCAAAAATGTGTCAAAAGTCAAGAATACAGAGTCGTTGAATCGTGTAACATTTCTCACGAAAAAAGTAAGTAATTTTATCTTCTCAATTTTTTATCGATGACATCTTAACTCTTTCGTGTAGTGTCAGTAAATATATGTACTGGTTACGAAAAAAAATCATAACTTTAAAACAAATAGTCCGATTGACTTCTATCTTAGCTTGTTTCAAAGAGAAAGGTTAAGCCTACATGTAAAAAAATTAGTATACTTTTAAATTTAATATTTCTGATAAAATATAATTATTTAAATTTTCCAAAAAATTCAACTTTTGGCTAGCATACTGATAACGCTTCCTCAGACGTTTCTCCGTTTCGCTCAATTAATTCATAGAAGAGAAGATCAAGTTCTGTTAACAAATAGACTGTTGTCTATATTCATAGAAGAGAGGATCAAGTTCTGTTAATAAATAGACTGTTGTCTATATGAAAGTTATATAACTACATAACTACATATCGACAACCATCAATCGACAATAGCATGTACGGAATAGTAAATTTTGATCTGTAGTGGAAAATGAATATATTCAAAAGTTCCTTGTAATCTCTAAGATCTATTATCTTAAATTTAAATTTTTACTTAAAGTTTACTTAAATTTTACTGGTCCGTATACTATGTCCGGTATACTCTGTCTATCTGAATTTATCGTGGA